AGTATCCAAAACAATTATCGGTGGCATTGGAAATATCACTTCGAATAGCGCTCGAATTCTGCCATTTCTCATCGCCGTACGATGCACGAATACTTCCATCCTTATAGCATCATGCAAATCGCGTTCTGACATTGGCATATGCCCAGATCTACCATCCAGATCGCAAGAATATACGATTCTCCTGAAAACATACTCTACTTCGTCGAAGGATAGTATTATAAAAGTCCGGTGGTCAGTGATTGATCTCCTCACGAGATTTCCGAAAAGATATTCGACTCCGGCAGCACTCACTCGCTCCCTTACTGTCTGTGCAGACAAACAGATAACAACGGCAACAATGCATGTATCTACGGCTATGTACCTGTCGTTTTCGCGCGCACCAGCGCGCACCAGAAATGCCATGCTCTACGGTCAGCTTAGTGGACTGACGAATACAAACGTTCCTCAGCTGCAACCAGCAAAGCCAAATCAAAAACCTGTCGTAGGTATAGTCTTAAGCGAACAGATACAGTCCTCTATTTCGTGTATCTTTTGGCGGATAGCTTCTAGTACTGATATGCTGTATGCGGTCGCTTGGATTGACCTTTGCAAGGGACCAGTTGTCCTGTCTATCCCGAACACGTAAATCCAGACATATGCACATGAGCACCTCCGGGTTTCTCTGACTTTACTGCAGAGCAGAACTTACCAGCTCCTAGTAATACATTTTCTGACGCCCTCGCGGATGGCTGGCTACTCTGCGGGTGAGTATGCAATCACCTGTCCCGGTTAAACGATATTCTTCCGCCGGGGGACCTCTCTACTACGGAACACTGACTTGAGGCATATGGGTAGCAGACAGGACTCTGTTCACCTCCGAGAACGAAATTCCTGGACGGACGCGATAGAACTTCAATACAATCTGACAACACTCCTACACCTTGCGTCCTCGTCTGCTCCCCCATCCCTTCCGACCTATTGCACCGGGCATTCTTTCTGCTCATCCCCCACAGTCAGAGAACGCACCTATGCTCGCCTCTCTTGTCTCCCTGGGAGTGGAATACAGTGGAAATCTGACTAAGATAGCCAATAACTGTGCTCGCCGTCTCAGATGGACAGGCATACCTCGAGGCCAATGTAGCCTCCGCATTACCAAATGTATCTGCAGGGTATCGTCAATTAATCGCGGGACGTATGTATAGACTACTTGCTGCGCGCAAAGATCGTACAAGGCGGACTGGGCGCGAACGTTCTCGAGAAGAGTGAATATCTTTATTATGCGAATGCATCGGAACTAAGTAACGAGAATTTGAACCTGATTACGTTTGCACCGGGAGATTTGTCGCCTCCCGAAGAGGTTTTGGAGCATCACGGCAAGTAACATTCATGATTTTTCTTTCCCTTGTACTTACTGTTCGATCATGTATACAACGAGATTCCTTTCTTTACACCAACCCCGAGGACCAGTACGCTCTGGGAGACAGGTCACATCTAACGTTTGAGGCAGACTGTCTGCTAAGATTTCTTCCGTATAATAATCCTATACTAGACAAATGCACGACACTCGGGAAATTCTTCTGAAAACTGGATACCGACTCCGACGGGCGTTTTCAATGTCTTCATTAGGGCGTACGTTCCAATTAGCAATATCTGATTATTCGCCTCCGCGATCGTCCAAGCCTAGAATAAATAATGCCGCCATACTACAGGAGTTTAAGTAGACTAGGTCTCGTCTTGGTTTCTTGGCTGACAGGTTACGTATACCTGGGATGACCAGAGTTCATCGGCAGGGTTCAAAAATATCTCATAAAAAAGAAATACAGGTCAAAAATCTCATGGATCTTTGTTATCTTGACAATAATCCTATGGCACCACAATAATCTCACATTCACCGCTGAAAGCTTGCAGATTGGTTTACATTGATCATTGGAAAGTTTATCCGTTGCTCCACTGTAAAAAGTGCTAGAGTCATTAGTACTATAGTATAGACGAACAAAAATCATCACATGGAGAAATAGTGGGAAAACATGGGCCATATCTGGCGGGAAAGACCAAGAAAACGTACGGAACATATATGGACTCGAATTATTGTTGTAAACATCACGACGTCGGCTCAGATGAAACATTCAACATCCACCACTCCGACCCCTCGCCGCCGAACACCAGCCCGGCAAATCGGCACTGCGATCCCAGATAATCGATGCGTAAGAGCCCTTTCTTCCGTGCGTCCTCGAACCTGATGGGCCTCTTCTTCTCCAGCAGCTCTACGCGTCGATGAAACGCCTTTGTCACTCGCTGCGCATGGCGGGGATTCACGCTGTCACGCGCCCAACGGTCGTGCTCGATGGGCCGGTTTAGACCTTCGTACAGCGCCTCGAGCACGTTCTCTACGGTGACGTAACTCCACCCTCGATTCGGGCGGGCCCGCACTTCGATTACCCAGTCGTTAGGGCACTCCGCCGTGTAGATGTGCATGCGCTCGCGTGGCGGCTGGCTCGCGGGTTGCTTCAGATTGTCGTGGTTCAGGTGCGTCCAATGTGTACCCTTCACGAGTTTCCGTGCGCACGTGTATGGCAGGCGCAGGTCGAAATAGACCATGGTCGGCGAGCCTTTGGTGAGGAGCGGACTCACTGGAGCTGCTCGAAGTCGGAAAATACGTAATGCGATGTGAGGAAGTTTACATACCAACATCTGCACGAGGCTGGGATGGTGGCCGAGAGATAGGTCGTGGGTTGGCTGGCGGATCCACCGGCTTCTTCGGAGCGTTGGAGGTGGGTAAAGGCCAATCGGCATTCTGTTTCTGTTCAGTGTTCTCTGCAGGACGGCTCTGCGGTGCGGCAGCACGGGAAGATAGCTGCGACGTAGTCCTTTTCCGCGGCGCGGGAGCAGGATGCGGCCAGTTGGCGTTACGATCCGATTCGACCTGTGCGGTGGATTTCCTTTCTGCGATAGATGGCGCCGGTTCCGGTGAAGGTTTCCTCAGTGGTTTCCTAGGCTGGTTGGCAGGAAAGGGCCAATTGCTGTTATTTTCCCACTCTTCCCAGCTGGGGGGGCTGCTCCCTTTAAATGTGAGTTATAAAACGGATTCAGTCGGCGAAGCTTTCGAAACATAATGGCTTCTGACCTGCTTCTGGAGCTGGAAGGTGCCAAATATCTTCGCGCCGCGACTCTGCAATCGGATTCGTTGGGGCGGGTTTGGTAGCTCCGAGCGGCTGAAGCGGCTTATAGTAAGAAGTGGCGCCCATAGTCAGAGTAGAGCTGTATGCGGCAGTGTTTTCCCTTCCGTAACCACCGAGAGGAAGTGCAGACCTTCTGGGAGCGTATATAGGGTAGTATGGCATTGCTCAAAGTCACTCAGAGGTAAGAAAGTGGAGAGTGATTGCTCGAGCTCGGATGGCGATTTCTTATCAGAGTTCGAGCTGAGGATCGAGAGGAGAAAGAGTGCGGACCGCTAGAAGCGTCCTCGTGTAAACCGCAAAGCAAATGATGTTCATAAAGCTCCATTGAGTCCCGCGATAGCGCCCAGGCCCTCGAGACTGTAAATATATCGATGAGCAGCAGCACGTCGAATTGTGCAGATTGGATATGCATAAGTTTTCCGAAAAGCCCGAGATCCGAGAGCACAAGACATCGTATAAGCACCGGCGAGGCCAAGACATATCGCGAAGACTCTTTTGTAGTGAAATTCATAAATCTGCTCTCCGTTAAAAAAACGAAGACTTGCATGCAGGTCAGTTCGTTCGCTTCGGGAGATGAACTCACCAGTGGACCGTTCCCGAACTGCCTTTGTTGGATACAGACGTCGTGTCACGTGTAAGAGACAAGCGCCTAACGACGACTGCGCTCGGGAGGCTGTCTTCGTCTGTCGTCTCCGCACCGTAATGTCGCTTCCAAAGTCAAACTACGATCCACGACGTGTCTGTCTCAATCCTTTCCCTAATCTCGACCTTCACCTGGGGAAGTACCGTCGGTCAATTGGCGTCTATGTCGCGGGCGGCTTGGTACGTCCAGCTGACTCCTTGACGGTAGTCTTGCATTCACCGACGTTCTGACTTCTGGCGCGCACTCCTCGTGCGGTTCAATGTATTTGGTTTTGGAAATCAGTTTGCGTTTGCGCACTGGCTTTTCCTAGATGCGGCGATTCTCTCTTCGCACTATCACCCTCCGCCTGACGCACCGTACGACTCGGCTCCTGTCCACGTTTCTTTCGTGGACTGGGTGCCAGGCATCATGTCTATACTCGGTTTCTTGGTCGTGAATTTGATCGACAAGGATAGGATAAAGGGCGAGGAGGTATACGCTGATGCGCGTGCTGTATGGCGTGCACGGCTGTTTCTCTTTATCGGATTCGCGTTGATGGCTGGTGGACTTGCTGGAAGTGTCGTGAGTCCGAACATGTTCTTCCTTTTGATCCTTATCTGAAAATACCTGGTCCGTTTCTTTTCAGACAATCTTGGTGATCAAATACGTAGTTCCCAACTTTCCAGAGCAGTTCACCTACTACGGGTATGCGAACGTATCGCAGAACGTCGCCGTCATGCTCTCTGCTGTTATTTTGTGGATCGCTCAGAGTGGACCAAGTGACTATGAGTACAGTCTTTCCATATGATGGCCTAGGCGGGCGTGAAAGAATATCATTTATTGTACTATGTTGTAAAACACCGCCCTTGTTATGTTGATCGCAGCCTTTTACTAGACAACTTCATGCACGCGACGCATCTTCTTTGTCGTACCGTCCTTGCATTATTTCCCTGCTCAACATACAAATTTGAGGGCCCTACGGTCAAGTTGGTTCTACGATATATAAACCATAAATGAACTGACTGGACAAGGATTACATAAGAGCATCCATATGAAATTTCAGATGTTTCTACAAAATATAAAATGGAAACAGACTTGCAATCGTAATTGTTATGCAGATACAGTGGTCGTATACATTTTTCCTTGCATGTTCACTCTTAGTCTTGCAAAAACAATTACATGTATGTTTACCTAAAACAAGAGTTGACACATAAAAATTATTCCTGCTAGCCGATTTGAACGACTGACCTCTTCATTCCTCCTTATACTAGTGAAGCACTCTACCAACTGAGCTAAGCAGGATTTTCCCACATATCTTATATGCATAAAAGTATACATGAGCAGTGAAAGAAGGAGTGCAGAAATTGACGAACCACGCTGCTCAAAACGGAAGGAAATTGTCGTATCATCAATTTTTCCCGAAACGGAAGGAAATGTCACGTGTAAAGTCACGTGCCTTGTGCCGCTACAATCACGACAGAAGAGCGGGTCATCATCCATGTATTGTGCTCTCGAAAACCAGGCCGGCTGAGTATAAGAAACAAGTTTTGTTACAATAATGGAGAGCGCCTTCTGGGAAAGAAGAGGATGGTGACCGTGATCGAGAGTGCAACCGAGGGATTGGAGCTCGCGGCATCGAAGTGGGCATGACACATGGCTGTTCTTTGAGGAAAAAAAATAAAAATTTGACAAATTAGGCCTCCCAGTCTCATATCATACGAGCATTTGATAACTTAAATCGTGCAAAACGGATGAGAATTGAGCTCAAAAACCGTTCTGTAACTTGCCTTCATGAGCCGCAAAACAAGAATCCTTTTTTGGTAGACATGTAAACAACTACAAATGCACACGTGCTGACTCCTCATAAGTCACGTGACTATATTTGGCTCTCTGCTGCGCATGTCTTGCTCGCCATTGCCTATACATCACAGCACTCGAGGATCATCATCCATGTAACTGATGATGGCTGGATTGTGCTCTCGAAAACCAGGCCAACGGAGTACTATTAGGAAGGTACGTGTTTTGTTAGCCCTGCTACGGTGTTTTCATGACTGAACCATCTTGTGCAGCACTCAATTTTTATAATATTCGATTTTGTCAGACAAAACAACACAACGGTATTTTATCTGAACTATTACAAGACTTCTGATAGTCCTCTGTTTGAGAGAGACCAGCGGAACACTGAAGGGTCGATGGACCGGAATTCTCGGTCTAATGACGACAACAAGATCATGTGTGTTACGACGGCAAAAAAACCAAACCAGACCTTAACAGGACTAGTCACGCTTGGCAAGACTGTACGCGCAAAGATGGGTGCGCAATATTTGTTGTCATTTGCAATTTGATAGTCCACCGCTCAATCATCGCAATTCAGAATTCTGGGAGGCAATACAGAGGCTCAAATGACTCCCGTCCAGACACAAGGCGCTTTCTATTTCTCTATTAGTTCTGAAATTTCTTCTTTGCCCTCTCACGCGGATCGAACATCTCCTACAGACCACCCGGAAAGACCGAATACACCGATTAATCTCATGAAAGGCACGCTTGCCGCTCTATATAGGTAGTTGTGATTCCGAGAAAGCCCTTTATATCTTCAGGTCCTGAGTGCGTCTCTGCGTTGTCTTCCGCCTAAAGCCATGACATGACTATTAGCAACAAGAGGACAGTAGACGTCGTCGGTGTACGCCTCCTCGATCTCCTTATCTTTCTTTAGTTCGCTTTGGTATACGTCTTTAACACTTGGATCGCAAGACACGCGCATTCTCAGGAGCGATCATCTATCCAGAAATTTTCGCAGGCAACCCAGGCTCCCGCGGCCCCGCTAGTCTTCGCATTGCGGCATTTAAACCCAAATTGTGATCTCAGCAAAGTCATGCTCTCGTGGGCCCTCTTTTCTGCGCCACTTGAGGCTTAATCTAATTTGACGGGACAATGCCTGTAATATATCACGGTTTCAAGAAGCAGAGCACGCTTCCTGAGGGGGGTCTCGCGGTGATCCCGGGACAACGGTTTCTACTCGTCAGTCCACTCCCGTCTTTTTCCAAATTTCTCTCTGAAGATCTGGAAATTTGACGAACGGTTGGCGCCGCGAGGGCGCTTGTGCACACCTGACAAACGCGCAGGACGAGAAGTCGTTCGCGGCGGTACGTGCGCTCAACCCGTACAGCAAGAGCGATGAGCCCGTCGACCCCGAAGTCGCACGTCCTTAGTTTGGAGGCCTCCTCGCGAAGTACTTTCCGGAGGGTAAAACAATATTTGTAAGATATATGCAACGTGCACGCGGTAAAATGGCCTCCAGCTATCGCTTCAAACACGAAGTGCAGTTTCATCTGTTCAGGAAACGCATCCAAGTACAATAACACAATAATCAAGAAATACATAGCGATCACGCATCTACGCGGGCCATTGTCACCACCACCACCACCACCACACTCACGTCGCTCATGCCTTGCCTGCCTCGACGTCCTTCTTAAACTGCTCGATGACGGGAACCATGCCGCCCTCGTCAGCGAGAAACCCAAGGCTGAGGGGGTACGTGTTGTCGAATCGCGCGGGCCACGACGACACGATGCGGCGGTTGGTCGGGTTGTCCTCGAACCTGATTAACTTGAGCACGTCGGGCCCGGCGACCGCCGCGAGCGCCTCGAGTTCCTCGCGCACGGTCGCAGTGAAGCCGGGGAGGCACACGACGCGCGTGTGCGGGTAGAACTTCTCGGCGGGGACGTGCTTCGCGACGATGAAGTTCTTGATGGTCGTTTCGGGCGAGGCGAGCCAGGCGGCCAGGTCGAGCTCGGGCGAGTCGAACGACGTGCCGACGGGGCAGACGGCTTCGATGCCCTTGAGCGGCTCGCGGACGATGCCTAAGTGTGCAAGAATGACATGATGCGGAGACGAAATAAGGATAAATTGAGTGCTCACCAGACATGAAGGCGGAGGTGGCGTTCGAGGGGACGCCAGGGCGAACGACGATGGTGGGGAGGCGCAGAATGCGTCCGTCGATGAAGCCGCGACGCGTATATTCGTTTACAAGGAGCTCGGACATGAGCTTCGCCATGCCGTACGCGCCCTCTGGCGTCGCGATCGTCAAGGGCGTGACAACGTCGGGCAGTGGGCCGCCGTACACTGCGAGCGAGGAGGTGAAGATGAACTTGATCAAGCGGCCGACGGCGGCGCCCTCGTGGCGCGCGGCGTCAATCAATAGGCGGACGGAGTCGACGTTTACCTAGCGACTTGTCAGATATAGATTTAGCTGATTTATTTAGAGAGGGCTTACCCTGAGACCAAGGTCGAAGTTGTCCTCCGAGCCGCGAGACATGATGCCCTGGAGGGCATAAATGGTGTCGGGCACGCCAAACTCGGTCTTGAAGAGCTGCGCGACAGCCTCCTTGTCGGTGAGGTCGGCCTGGACAATGGCAGCCTTTGCACCGGCAGGGGCCGTGACTTCGGTAATGTCAGCGAGGATGAGATGGAGGTTCGGCGTCTGGGGGTCAAGGAGAAGCTCGTGTGTGAGGACACTACCGAGCCAGCCAGCCGCGCCTGTGACTAGCACGACAGATTTATCACTGGACATGGCAGAGAGAAGGAGACGTGGGTGTTCTGGAGAGCGAGTGAGAGTTACGGGTCGGGCAGAACCTCGGCTTAAATATAGCGTACCCGGCAATGCTCAGATTTGTGGTCCGTGGTTGTGTTAGTAATTACGCGGAGACTTCCTTCTTTCCGCGCAAGCGCTTCCCTTCCGCGTTCCATCGATGCGGTCCAGGTGGTATGTTGTGCGTGCGCGGTTCCGCCACCAGCCACCATTGGCGGGACCGAGCCGGACCGGACCCATGGGGTAGCCGGCATCTCAGCCGACGGATACATATCGTCCCGGGGCTCGACAGGCTCGGCTAAACCTAACCGGCAGCGGCGATCAGGGTCCAGCTCCGATCTTTGGTGTGTCCGCTTGCGTCCGGCTTATCCGTCAGTCTCACGTCGACAACCCTCGCCTGCGCTCATCATTTTTATAAATTAAATAAATAAGCCAGACAAATCCAGGCGTTACTTCCGTTATTCCTGGACTTGGTCATACGCCGCAGCTGCCTTTCTGTTTCCTGACTAAACACCGCGACCAAGACAGCGCCCCGGGCCCATAATGTCCCTCGCGAACAACCTGACGCTCAGCATCCTCCGCAAAGCCGAGAAGCAAGGATACGGTATCCTCGCACAGACCTGGTCAACACCCCATGCGATCTTCTCGATTTTTATTTTTCTGACCCACCTCTTTGTTTGTGCAGCTACGACGCACACTCTGCCATCGGCCTGGTGCGCGCCGCCGAGCGCAAAAAGAGCCCTGCCATCCTCCAGCTCTTTCCTGTCACCCTCGCCTATGGCAAGGGACCTTTCCTCCAGTTCTGCTTGAATGTGTAAGTGGTACGACTTGATGGGCATAGAACATTTTTTTGACTGGACTTGACTTGACTTGCAGCGCACACCAGGCCTCCGTCCCGATCGCCGTACACCTTGACCATGCCACAGACGAGGACCACATCGAGCTCGCGCTCAGCCTCGCCGAGCAAGGCATCGCGTTCGACAGCATCATGGTAGACGCCAGCCACGCCGACGTACGTCCAGCCTTATCAAAAATACGTCGTCAATTACCTCATCTTATCCGCAGACCGACGAGGAGAATATCGCGCTCGCGCGCCCGCACGTCGAGCGCGCGGCGAGGGCGGGAGTCGCGGTCGAGGTCGAGCTCGGGCGCCTCGAGGGCGGCGAAGCCGGCCTGCGCGTCATCTCCGACGCGAAGCTCACGAACCCCGAGAAGGCAGAGCACTTCATGAAAGAGACCGGCGCGGTCATCCTCTCGCCGAGCATCGGGAACCTGCACGGCTCGTATCTCAGCCCACCCGACTTCCGCCAGGAGATGTGCGTTTGCATGCATGCATTTGTTTATTTTTTTCTTTTTCGTGACTTCCTGTTTTAAATATGCCGCTTTTGCACTCCAGCCTGAAGGACCTGCGTTCCCGCTTCGCCGGCGCCGTCCCGCTGTGCCTGCACGGGACAGACGAGCTCCCGGACGCGCTCTTCACGGAATGCATCGCGAACGGCGTCTCAAAGATCAACGTGAACAGCTGGGCGCGCGATCCGTACGTGAAGGCGCTCTCGACGAAGCTCGCGAACGGCACGCCGTTCCCCGAGGCTGTTGAAGAGAGCACGGAGGTGTTCGCGGCTGTGTGCGAGCGCTTTATCGACCTGTTCGGGTCGGCAGGGAAGGCCTAGGTGCGTAAGTATGCAATATCGACTGGAAGGATAAAGAATGGCGA